CTAAACCCTAAACCCTGATACCCTAAGCCCTACCTGAGCCCCCCGACTATCCTCTATAGTCTGAAGTCCCGTTGCCTGCTGCAGAGCGTAAAGACCCCTTTCACGAGTACCTGAACAGGTTCCGGTAAGCCTGCCGGCTTAGTTGCTTCGGGTTTCGGGATGATGGACGATAGGCTGCGGCGCCAAGAGCTTTCGGCGAGGGTCTTCGGTTACATAGTTCAGGCTCTCAGTCTGGGGCTTAGAGTTCATAAAAGAGTTTAGGGCTTGCGGCTCAGGGCTTTGGGTGGAGAGTCTTGCGAGTTCGGGGCTCGGTGTGTTACTCTTGTTAGGAATAGGGGTATATGGGTGTTCAGAGGACTTTTGCAAGACCTGGACATGCGTGGCTTGGGGTCACAATGGCCTTTGGCCCAGGCTTGTCTCCCTGTCTGGTTTGCGTGCCGGCACTCAAGTGTTTGCAAAGTGCTTCGGCGTCCTCCGGGCTGCAGTGGAGTGGATTGGAACCTTTGGCAAACAGAAGTAGGCAGTGCCCAAACCGCAAAGCAATGACCGAGGCCAAGCGTATCAGAAACATCTGTTCCCGGGCTCCAAGCATAAAACCTGACCTAGTCTAATTGTTAGAGGAAACCGTTGGGATCGGATCAACACGACCCTACACGAACGGGAGCGAACTTGGGAACAACAGAAGCGACGAGCCGCGGCAGAACAGGATCCAGCCCTGGCATTTGTTGTTTGCTATTTTATTGGATTTCATAATCCCGGTACAGATTTTTCCAACACGGTTTTCATTACTGCACAGTTCCTTTTCGGTTTCACGTTTCTCCCATTTTGAATCACTTCTCCGGAAGCTATGTTGTATAGTATGTTAAGTGTTTTTTGTTTTCTTGTCTTTCTTGTCAGACAACACTTCCATTATCTTATAGTTCTTACCCTCGTTCCATCGCAATGGTTTCCCATGGTATTCGGCTTTTGTCCTGGAGTCCTTGCAGCAGTAATTTCAAGTATTCGAAGTTTAGCTCACCAAGGACGGCGCAAGCCCGACCCAGAGGGTGAATAATCTTCTATCCCGGAATCCAGAGAGCCTTGGTTGTGAGCTTCAGAGACTGGGAATGAGGACACTCATCATCACTAAGCCACCTATCGGGCTTGACACCTACAGTAACTTCGCTCTGATCCCCTCACGCCCGTAGGAACGACCTACGACGAGAACACTCTTCAACCAAAGTTGTGCGACATTCTGTTGATGGACAAAATTCTGC